ATGGTTAGATGGATAAATGGTTAGATGAATGAATGGTTAGATGGATGAATGGTTAGATGGATGAATGGTTAGATGGATGAATGGTTAGATGGATAAATGGTTAGATGAATGAATGGTTAGATGGATGAATGGTTAGATGGATGAATGGTTAGATGGATGAATGGTTAGATGGATAAATGGTTAGATGAATGAATGGTTAGATCGATGAATGGTTAGATGGATGAATGGTTAGATGGATGAATGGTTAGATGGATAAATGGTTAGATGAATGAATGGTTAGATGGATGAATGGTTAGATGGATGAATGGTTAGATGGATAAATGGTTAGATGAATGAATGGTTAGATGAATGAATGGTTAGATGAATGAATGGTTAGATGGATGAATGGTTAGATGAATGAATGGTTAGATGGATGAATGGTTAGATAAATGAATGGTTAGATGAATGAATGGTTAGATGGATGAATGGTTAGATGGATGAATGGTTAGATGGATAAATGGTTAGATTGATGAATGGTTAGATGGATGAATGGTTAGATGGATGAATGGTTAGATGAATGAATGGTTAGATGGATGAATGGTTAGATGGATGAATGGTTAGATGGATAAATGGTTAGATGAATGAATGGTTAGATGGATGAATGGTTAGATGGATGAATGGTTAGATGGATGAATGGTTAGATGGATAAATGGTTAGATGAATGAATGGTTAGATGGATGAATGGTTAGATGGATGAATGGTTAGATGGATGAATGGTTAGATGGATAAATGGTTAGATGAATGAATGGTTAGATGGATGAATGGTTAGATGGATGAATGGTTAGATGGATAAATGGTTAGATGAATGAATGGTTAGATGAATGAATGGTTAGATGGATGAATGGTTAGATGGATAAATGGTTAGATGAATGAATGGTTAGATGGATGAATGGTTAGATGGATGAATGGTTAGAGGGATGAATGGTTAGATGGATAAATGGTTAGATGAATGAATGGTTAGATGAATGAATGGTTAGATGGATGAATGGTTAGATGGATGAATGGTTAGATGGATAAATGGTTAGATGGATGAATGGTTAGATGGATGAATGGTTAGATGGATAAATGGTTAGATGGATGAATGGTTAGATGGATAAATGGTTAGATGGATGAATGGTTAGATGGATGAATGGTTAGATGGATAAATGTCTTTTATGTATTGGTAGATAGATAGGTAAATGGATGGATTGATTGAATGATGTATTGGTGGGCAGGAAGATCGATGAAAAGATGATTGATAAGTGGAAGGATTGACGGAGGATTGATGGATGGATTGAGAGATCTACAGAAAGACAGACGGATGAATGGCTGACTGACCGGTTTGCATGTTGCTTAGATAGATGCAAAAATGTACATATGTATAGGTGCATATATGGATAGGTGTCTGTCTGTCTGTCTGTCTGTCTGTCTGTCTGTCTGTCTGTCTGTCTGTCTGTCTGTCTGTCTGTCTGTCTGTCTGTCTGTCTGTCTGTCTGTCTGTGTATGTCTGACTGTCTGTCTTTCTGTCTTTGTCTGTCTGTCTGTCTGTCTGTCTGTTTGTGGGTAGGTAAGTAGGTATGTATGTGACTAATTTAAAATCAACTGTGAACAGTTACTTGAATAGACAATTGCTGTTCTTGATTAACTGAGCTGATTCAAGAACCAACATCACAACACTCGAAGCATCCTCACAAGCGCTCTGTCCCCATCTTCAGCAGCCAGCGCAGAGTTCCAATAGCAATGATACCAGTGGCAGTTTTATATTAAGACTGTCTTGCTTTTGTTTCCCCTCAGCATCAAGTATCGGCCAGATCCCCTGGTCACTCCACGCTGTATCACTCTCACCAGACCCGTTTGGTCAGCTCCCTTAACCCCCTTACAAATTTTCTAGGTTGGATTGAGCAGCTCATAATATTTTTCTGTCGGTGAAGAACATAAGGCCCCCCCCCCCCCACCCTCTCCCCTCCCCCTTTCCCTCGCCCATCCATACAGATCGCGAAGCTTCTACTACACCCGGCTAGTCTACATCTTCTTGTTCTACTCTCAATCAGCGACCGCCGCCATACTTGTTTACAGCCAACGAAACCAATTTATGCGAAAGTATCGAGAGTACGTAGAAGAGCTCGGCCAAGATGTCTGAAGAACCACTTCCGCTATATTTGGGTTTTTCAAACATGTGTTTGTATCCAACATGACAACTTGTTGAGAAGTGTATGTTGTGTCTGTGCAGTGTGCGTGAAGGAGAATTGTTGGGTAGTTTGGGTACACAAATGTTCAGAAAACAAAACGGACAAACAAGGATTATATAAGTGTTTAGTGACGAAATAGAAGTACTTTAGAAGCTGTGTTTATTAAAAGGTTAGTTGCGTATCCTTTACAGGACGTTGCAGAACTAACCCCAGCAGCCCCTAGCTGTTGTGTGGTTTCTCTATGCAAATTTACGTCCAGTAGTTTGCCATTGCTTGCTGGACGGTCAGACCCTTATACAATTGTCGAAACTAACGCAAGGCGCATACCCCGCAGCTGGGATCGAACCCGGCACCCCGGCATTACGGAGCGTTCGCATGGACTTAGCCACAGCGCCGACTGCTTATGTATATCATAAGATATTGTAACTTCCGGGGTCCTTTGTCGTGGTGAGAGAAAGGGGAATAATAGACCCACTGACCTCTAACAAGCATGTCGTAAGACTCCACTAATTCTGGATATTTCCTTTGAAGTCTTGAGTGCTTTTGTCTGAAAAGCGAAAAAACACAAGACTGCAGACAAATAGACGGAATCCGTGAAATGGATGTGCTCAAATTGTAGAACAAGACTAGAGTTCATAAGTGGACGAACAATAATAACTTTTTACTGTAGTTTACAGCCTTCTACTGAAGGTTCTCCAGACAGCCTGGTGTAGCAAAACTATACCAAAAGATTGGGAGATTGCCATCATTATACCTATATTTAAAAAAGGTGATAACAGACAATGTGAAAACCACAGAGGCATATCCCTCCTCAGCGTTCCTGGTAAAAGTTACTCTAGAATTCTTGAGCAGAGACTTAGAAGTCTGGTAGAGCCACAGCTGGACGAGGCCCAGTGCGGCTTCAGAGCAAACCGAAGTACTCAAGACCTTATCTTCACATTGAGACAGATGAGTGAAAAAGCCCTGGAATATAAGAGTGAGATTCACTTATGTTTTTTGGATCTGGAAAAGGCATTTGACAAGGTACCCTGGAACAAGCTCTGGGACTGCTTGGCAGGGAAAAACATCCCAGCACCCCTGATCAGTGCAATACAGAGTTTCTACAAAAAGTGCAGAAATTATGTAAGAACAGCAGACCAAAAGTCAGAAGAATTTAAGACCACCAGCGGTGTTAGACAAGGTGATATTCTCTCACCTTACCTCTTCATTCTTATGATGGATGATGTCATCAAGACCTGTAAGGAGAAGACAAAGAAGTAAGTACTCTGTAGGGTACTGGAAGATGAGACCAATCTGTATATCAGAGCTGGCTTTTGCAGGACGATGTGGCCCTGATAGCTAAATCAGAGGCACACCTTCAGTCCAACTTACTTGTCTGGAAGGAAGAGCTTGAAAAAGAAAGGGATGACCATCAGTGTCTCCAAAACTAAAACCATGATGATCTCAAGAGAGGAGAAGAAAAACACCAGATCATGATGGGTCAGTATGCGTTGGAGCAGGTTAACCAGTTCAAATACCTTGGAGTTGGTATTAGACCAAAATGGAGGCATTAAGACTGAGCTGGCTACACGAAAAGCAGCTGCTGGGAGACTTCTTCCAGGCCATAAAACCGAGGGTTTCTTAGCAAAAAGAGAAATTGGCAAGAGGGCGAAAAGGGCTGTTTACCGCTCTACCTATGTACCAGTCCTGACCTATGGGTGTGAGTCATGGGCAATGACAACAGCTCACAGAAGCCAGCTGCAGGCCTCGGAAATGAGATACCTGAGAAAGGTGGTCCAAGTGACAAGAAGGGACAAAGTCCGCAATCAGACAATACGTCAAGATCTTGATACCCAGCCCCTTACTAACCCGAGTGGATCAGTCACAGTTACGATGGTTTGGACATGTGGTGCAGAATGGGAGAAAATCGGCCACCATGGCAAGCATGGGAGGCTAAGAACCAGGGAACCAGACCTCCGGGACGACCAGGGTGCGCTGGGAAGACAAACATCTGACAGTCCCTGACTGACAGAGGACTGGAATGGAAACAAAGCCAGAAAGAAAACTGCTGATAGAGACGTCTGGCGATCTCTCTGGCAAACCTCTACACCCCAAGGTAGAAGAGGAGCGACTAAGTAAGTAAGTAAGTAAGTAAGTAAGTAAGTAAGTACAGCCTTGTCCCCCACCCCATTACCCCCCCCCCCCCCCCCCCCCGACAATATTCTCGTGCAGCACTCCCAATGTGGTTTTTGTGTGTGTGTAAGCGCCGGTATCTGTGGCTTACGCGTTGCGAACGCGCTGTGTAATGCCGGGGTGCCGGGTTCGATCCCTGCTGCGGACGGTTTGTTTTGCGATGGTTTTTACCGTGGTACCGACAGCCGACCGACCAGAGCCAATGGCAAACTACCGGACGTAAATTTGCCTAGAAAAACCACAACAGCCAGAATCTGCTGGGTTTGTTTCCGCAACGTCCTGTAAAGGATACGCAACTAATTTTTTTTGTCGGCTCTGTGACTAAGTCAATGCAAACGCTTCGTAATGCCGGGATGCCGGGTTGGATCCCAGCTGCGGGCCATGCGCCTTGCGTTGGTTTCGACAGTGGTATCAAAAAAGCCGACCGCACAGAAGCAATGGCAAACTACTGGATGTAATATTGCCTAGAAAAACCACACAACAGCCAGGGGCAGTTGAGGCTGGTTCTGCAACGTCATGTAAAGGATACGCAATTAACCTTTTGTAAGCGCTTGTGAACCTGTTATTTTTCCTCGCTCTTTTCATTATATTTGTAACGTTTCGGTTAAATTTCTTCCTCAGGAAGGAGAGTTTTGTCACTTTCCTTGTCAGTGTCGCGTTGAGGAACTCACGTGTCAAGATGGCGTCAGCGTGATCAAAGATGGCTGCGGTTGCTGCTTCATGTGCGCCCGACAGATGGGGGACATGTGCTCCGTCAGGGACCTCTGCGACACTGCCAAGAACTTGTACTGTGACAGAAAGGACAACAACTCTACGGGGCTATGTAAAGGTACGATGTCACCGTGCATCCTTTAGATAGACTAACTTGTGTGCCTTTAGATGCGATTTCTCCCCGTGTGCATTCTGAGGCCATATTATAAGGAAAACCAGAATAGACCTACTGACTACCCAAAATCATGTCGTAAAAGTCGACTAATTAGGAGCTTCCTTCGAAGTCGGAGTGTATCTGCCCGAGAGGCAAGGAATCAGCAGTCTGCATACAAATAAATCAGATCTGTAAAACGGATACACACGCAACACTTAGGTTCTGGAACAGGCCTGCAGTCCACAAGTGGACAAACAACCAAAACTTTCCACCGGAGCTTACTGCTGGTGAACGTACAGAAGAAGAAGATGCGATTTCGAAAAATAATTTATCAGGTATCAGAGCCGTCGTGGTGTAGCGGCTAGACACATGCATGCGGATCCGACTGTCGTGGGTTCAGGTTTTGACGAAACCCGACTTTTTTTTGTTCAAATGACATTAGCTTCCTGGTCGACCTAACCTTAAATGTGTACTAGGTAAAGTCATGAGAAGTAAATGTGGTCGGCGTGATGTTGACCACATCACCCAAAGAGTGCCCATAGGTCTAAAGAATATAGGTCTAGAGTGACCAGAAGAAATTTAATCAGAAATTAGGTCATAATAGAAAAAGTGGGCACATTTATATGTAGAACTGGTTGTGAATTACATACACAGACAGATTATCAAATGGGTTGTCCATTTACATATAAAGACAGATAATCAAATGCTTTATCCATTCACATACACCGATAGACAATCAAATGGTTTGTCCATTTACATACACAGACAGATAATCAAATGGTTTGTCCATTCACATACACAGACAGACAATCAAATGGTTTGTCCATTCACATACAAAGACTGATAATCAAATGGTTTGTTTATTTAGAGAGAATACTTTGCGATGTCGTACCATACACAATAAGAAAAAGACGTAGAGCACAAGTCAGACCAACAAAAAGATGGAAATACAGCATAAGAGTACATCTACAACAGCACAATGTGTCTTCTGTCAAGGCAGGCAGAAGAACAAGAAGTAACACCTTATATCCCCCTCGATACTCATCATCATCATCATGTAGCAGGTCCTTTGCAGAACGTCGCTCTCATCACAGTCTGCCTGATAGAAACTCGGTCTCTCGCCGGTTCTCCTGCCTCATGTACTTTCATACTCAAGGAGTCACTTATATCCCCCTTGATACTAGAAGCGGTAAAAAAGGAAGAAATGAAGAAGAAGATGTACACTAAGAAGAAGAAAAAGAATTCAAAACTGACCAATAGTCCATAAAAGCTTTCGTCATCTGTAATTACTTCATCATCGTCCTAGTTAACAGACAACCAGACGGCCATTATTGCCATTTCATACCGTCCGAAGATCGTCTTGTCCACCTGTCCATATTTGTCTCCCATCTCATTTAACGGAAATCCGATCACTACACAACGCCCGAGCACTCTTAACAAGCATAGATCTGTCTAGTAATATCTCCCAGTGAACACCCCTTAAAGATGGGTCGCCAAAGATGGATCAGGAATGGAGGATCCAATTAACTGTATAGAATAAATAATCTGTCCGAGAGGGGAGATAATTTTGGACAGGGTAAATAACTGAAGTCATCCATACCAGCAATGGTTGTCTGCTCTTGACAAAGGAAGACATTTTCTGAAGTATATGGACAAATATTACTTTGTTTAGTGTATTGTTGTATGAGACAATTTATTGCTTTGTTGAACAAGTGTTCGTAGATATCAGCGAACAGGCGAGTAACCCTGTCTGTATGTCTATGTTCTCGTAATAACATATTCGTTTTAGTCTGTCTGTCTGTCTGTCTGTCTGTCTGTCTGTCTGTCTGTCTGTCTGTCTGTCTGTCTGTCTGTCTGTCTGTCTGTCTGTCTGTCTGTCTGTCTGTCTGTCTGTCTGTCTGTCTGTAGAATGTCAGACAGGTCTACGTGCCCAATTCTTAACCACTTAAAAGTAAAGTTTGATTGTTTGTTCGTTCATTCTATCTGTCTGTATGTCTGTGCGCCAGTCTGTCTGCCAGCCTGCTTGCATGTCTAGCGGTCAGTTTTTTAGTTGCATAAGAATAACCGGCCACTCTGTGTGTACCAAATTCGTCGAATAGGGCAGAAGGCGGTCACCTAATGTGGTCCAACAATGTTAAGGATAATTATATTCACCTTTCCCCAAATATGTATATAAGGAGAGAGGGGGAGAGAGACAGACAGAAAGAGGCGGACACCAGACAGACAGACAGAGATAGAGACAGACAGACAAAGAGAGGAGATAGGCAGATATACTGACAGTTAGAACTGAGACACAAACAGAAAAGGAGAGGGAGGCAGACACAATGGGCGGAGCGAGAGACAGGCAGACAGAGAACAGGAGACGGAGGGAGAGAGGGGGAGAGAAAAATGTCGAGAAAAGAGATGGGGAGAAAAAGAGAAACGGGCATAAAGACAGACATGTAGAGAGAGAGAGAGAGAGAGAGAGAGAGAGAGAGAGAGAGAGAGAGAGAGAGAGAGAGAGAGAGAGAGAGAGAGAGAGAGGGAAGAGAGAACAGAAAAAAGAGAGGGAGAGAAGAAGACTGCGTGTGCTAGTATGCCACTGCAGCTAGCTTTCATCAAATAAGGACACCTCATAGACTGACATTCTTGGTTAGATAAACTACAAACAATATGTTCATTCTTCTTATGTTTATACGGCACCTTTGTTTTTGTTTTTCTTGTCTCTTGTAAGGCTCATTTTCAAATGACAAACTGGCCTTTTGCTAACAACCAATCGGTCATAGTCTGGTGGTCCAGGAATAATAAATGGCTTCAGGGTTAGGCTTTTTAAGGGATGGAAACCTGGATAATGGCCCTTATTATTTACTTCCGGGGCATCCGCTTCACGCACAGGAAATGGAGACTGTCTATCTGGTCGTCGGTCGGTCGGTCGGTCTTTCTGTCGATAGGTCGGTCGGTCGGTCTTTCTGTCTATCTGTCGGTCTGTCTTTAAATCGGTGGGTCGGTCTGTATATCTGTATGTAGATCGATCGGTCGGTCGGCTTTCTGTCTGTGGGTCGGTCGGTCGGTCGGTTGGTTTTTCTGTCTGCCAAACGGTCTTTCTGTCTGCCAAACGGTCTTTCTGTCTGTCGATCAGCCTGTAGATCGTTCTGTGGGTCTGTATATCTGTCTCTATCTGTCTGTCAATCGGTCAATTGGTCTGCCCATCTGTTCTCTATCATTCTGTGGATAGGTCAGTCAATAACTCTATCTGTTCTCCATCTGTCTCTCTCTCTGTATATCTGTCGGTCAGTCTGTCTGTCTGTCTGTCTCTGTCAGTCTGCCGTTTATCTGTCATATCTCTCCGAGTATCTGTCTTAATGAGTTTATTTAGTGAAATCAACAGGTAAAGTCATTTACATACCAATCGTTGTTTGGTACTAAATGAAAAGGTGAGAGGGGGGGGGGGGGGATTATACAGGTATTGCGGAAACTCGACACGCGTGCTGTACTCAACACGGGTGCTATACTCAACACGGGTGCTGTACTCAACACGGGTGATTACTCAACACGGGTGCTGTACTCAACATCGGTGCTGTACTCAACACGGGTGCTGTACTCAACAGGGGTGCTGTACTCAACACGGGTGCTGTACTCAACATCGGTGCTGTACTCAACACGGGTGCTGTACTCAACACAGGTGCTGTACTCAACACGGGTGCTGTACTCAACACGGGTTCTGTACTCAACACGGGTGCTGTACTCAACACGGGTTCTGTACTCAACACGGGTGCTGTACTCAACACGGGTGCTGTACTCAACACGGGTGCTGTACTCAACACGGGTGCTGTACTCAACTTGCTCTGATTCTCACAACACAGGTAAAGACAAGAATCCTTGCCTGGTCGATGGAGTCGCGTACAATGACGGGGAGAAGTTCCAGCCGGAGTGCTCGCAGCTGTGCACGTGTCAGAACGGCTTCTACGGCTGCATCAACACGTGCCCTCAGGAATTGCAGAAGCCGTCAG